GATGATGCCTGCAAGTTTTTTTTAATTCCGAAAGTTTACAGAGCATGAGATGATTTCATGTATTTTGATGCTGTTATGATGCGTGACCAACCTACCTGACGAAAATCTTCGCAGCTTATATGACTAAGCTTAGAAACTCGCTCTGGTCTTGATTTATTGTTATCATTTGATAAAATGTGTAGAAGAAAACCAACAACGCCTGTGAGATCCTTTTCATAGTAATCTCCATTTTTTTATGAATTCCACAGGTATCAATTTTTTGTATTTTTTCATCACCAGCACTTAGTTTGGATCAATTGTTTTTTAATTTGTTTCAACAGCGAGTTTTTTCAATAACTTTTCAAAACGGAAAATATGTATAATTAAGGTTCAATTTCGCAAAATCCAAGAAAAATTGAAATTTTGATGCGTTTATTTGCAAACATTTTCAGTTTTCTGCCACGGAAAAGGAGATGCGCGTTCTATATATGGGAAAATTAAAAAAATAATTTTATGAATCAGAAAACCAAGAGCTTTTCTTATTTCAGGGTTCATGGTACTCAAATAAATATGGCATTCAAGATTAGCTTGGGTTAGATTTTAATTAAAGTCGGACCAAACCCAACCTTTTTGGGTTACGTTTTGTCAGGTATATACGAATTCAAGATTTTAAACCTTCATGAAACCACTTAATGCCTATAGAAATTACGTCGAAGAAGTGCCGTGACATTACCGGCGTATCGATCACACTTTCATTAGTCAGGTCACGTGTGCAATGACGGAACCTAAACAATAATCCGGCGACTTGCTGCAAATAATTTCGAATTACGCCAGATGCTTGTGAGTGTCAACGGATATTTTCCTTCCATTCATTTGTGTATATATATTAAGACGATTGCACAGGAATCTGAAGGACGTGCCGAGAAACGTGATTTCGCGTCGAATGCGTCGAGAACCTTGTTTTTTTTTCCTGCTGCTTCCGGAACCCCTTAATACCCGACTCTGAGCATGTTCCCCACATTTTCCGCCACGTTAATTGGGACAATAAATCCGCGTGATATTACATCCTCGTCGACGGTGTGGGGCTCGATGACGGATAACTGATGAGGATTTTCGAGGATGGATGACAAGAGCACCTTACACTCAATCCCTAATAAAGAGAGAGAAAGAGAGAGAGAAAAGCTCGTTCATGATTCTTTTCTGCAGGACCCTCGACCTGATTTTCCGCAAGAGAAAATGTGTGCGAATGGATTTATTCGCTAATATGAAAGTTAGGGAGAAGTTGGTCCTGTTCTTTCATGCTGCGATTTTGCAGAAATTCTTCGGATGTTTATTTATTTTTGACCTTACCCTCGATGATCATGTCTGTGCATAGAGAAAAAAATTATTCGTTTTGGCTGTTGTTTTTTTTTAACTGTTGAAGCTTCTCTGTTTTGCAATTACAGTAATAGGACGGAGGGGTTTTCTGACACAGCTTCGTTCCGCAGTGAAGCGCAGGTACATGTCAGCATAGAAGCTGCTTAGTTCAGATAAGCGAAATCCTTCTTAATTGTAATTGAGGTCTTTATAGGAGAAGGGATTTTAATTATCTGATATACGAGAATTTCATGCTTTTGTGTTGGAAATACAGTCGAACTTCGAGGGGCCAGCGAAAAATTTGAGTTAGGCAGGTTTTGAGATTGGGAAACGAACATTTTTGTTTTGGAAAAGAAATACGAATTTCAGGATATTGAAATTGCTGGTATCTTCAGCCTTGATTTTCTTTTCCAATGATTAAATGGGATGCTGAACTTGGAAGCAAGGGTTAATTTTCCAAAATCGTCTTTCGCTACCCGTTCAAAGCGCATCAAGTTATTTCTTTTCTTTTTTTTTCTTCCCTGTATCAATAAAATAATAGGAAGAAAATCCTAATGAACTTCTAGTCGAGGAGGCTTGAGGAGGGAAGCTTTAGAGATTGGGAGGTTTTCAATGCCAAATATTTGGAAAAATTCAGGCAGGGACTTGAAAAAAATTCGCGTTTTGGTGGTTCGATGAGGCATCGAGGTTCAACTGAGAGGTTCACAGATTATTCGAAATTCGAAAGCGGGTCAAGTTATTGTTTGCGCAAACGCCTTGTCAAGCTTTCATTGCGTTTCCGAAGCAAATTTTTGAGTGAATTTCAGGAGTTCTGGGCAAAAGAAGAATTACCGCGAACGTAAGCTTGAAAAATAAGCAAACAATTCAGAAAGTCGCACATTTTCCCGTGCAACGCTTGGTTTTAAAGTTTCAAAAATTCGGCTCTTTTTTTTTTCTTTCTGTGAGCACAAAATAAATTGGTATTGCTAGTAGTGTATTTTGTTCTTCCTGGCTGACATAACGTCATGTACACATATATAAATAAATTATACTACGGTTCTTCTGTAGAAATCTTTATTTCGTGAGTTTTGTTTGCTGATGATGCACTAATCAGGAGTCATTAAAGTAAAACTAAACCCTAGAAAAAAATTAATTCAGAAAAATTGACTCAGCTGACGTGCGTGGACAACAGTAGCTCATTGACGAGGAGCGACTTACTGTAAATTTCTTGAATTTTTGCGACACACACGCACACCTACACATACGAAAAATATAAGCGTTCGACGATACAGGAACTGATGCTCATTATGTCGCCAGAAAGATATTGATGAGAGTGTTTTGGATGATAATTCTCACGATCGGTGCTTTAATGCTTCAACAGATCGGTCCCAAGTGCCGGATTCCGAGCTGGGCAAGAAAGGGTCCATTGGGAAGGCGCCGACTGTAGTCAAAGCAGAATCGGGTCCCGAGGGAGTCGCGGTGCCCGGGCTCGGGGCCGCGTCGACGACGGGTACCGTTCTGCTGCTGCGAACCCGCCAGGGATCCCGGGCCAACTTCTCCTGCGAGGCCGACGGGCTGCCTGTGCCCGAAATCCAGTGGTTCAAGGTTAGTGTGGCAATCCCTACTGTGTATGATTCTTTTTTGAATAGAGTATTGTAATCGATTTGTCTTTTAACTTTTCACACAGACGCAGAAAATTAGCCTCATTTCTATTATGAATTGGAGTAATTTCATGATGAAAATTTTTGAATATAGATAGCCCAATTTTTAGGGATATTAGAACTGAGAAGAAAAATTTATATTATTCTAGAAACACTGAAAAGTGTTCAGTGAAAAATGTTAAGCCTCACATTGATATAATTCGTCCTGCTGATGGTGATTATTACTATTGCTTTATTGTACTTCTGAAACGCTTTCGATAAGGCTTCAGGACTCTAAATCACGTACCCCTGCACGGAAATCATTCCATCGAAAATTATTTAAACTGAATTGTAAATGAATTTTAAAAGCTCTGATCATTAATGATGTTCAATTCAATCTGAGTCGAATGATTCCAGAGGATTTTCTAGCCATCTGTGAAGCATGCACCGTTTTATGATCCAAGTTTTCCAATCGTTTTGTTGTGTGTACGTTTGTTCAGAAAATTTGAATCTAGAGGCGAGGTTATTTTCGATGATGCTCGTGAAATAAAAATGCAGCGATTAAAATCGAATGACCATTAAAAAAAAGCTTGGAAACATATCTAAAGAAATTGAAACGTCTTAAACGGTCGGAATAATTAAATTTTTATGCATGCAGCAATTTGAATTTCACGCTGCGAAAACGTTTAAGGTGTGCAGTTTTTTTCCAAAGTGACTCCATTTTATCACCGTTCAAGTTTTAAGGAGTGAGCGTAAAATGTTGCGATGAAATCCCTTTTATAATCTGTTCTTTCGTGGTATTATTTTATTCCCGGACTGGCGACTTTTCGCAGAACCAATCACGTTAAAAATGAGGGTTCGGAATTTATCACTAGTTCGAAAAATCGGAATTACTTCTCGAAGTACCTCTTTTGACGTGAGAACAAATTTCCCCCATTTTGAGTACATCGTATGAAGGAAACAGTGGAAATAAAATTTTTTTTATACTTATTTTCTAGCTATTAGTGTGCCATATACTGGTCTTGGATCTCCACTCAGTACCCTAAAGTGTGCGGAAAATGTGAATTTTATGATCTCAGTCACATTATACGCTGATGACACTCGAGAGGTTCGCTGCTGCTGTGGAGAAACGAGTTTTGATTCCCGAGGGGAGAAATTTGGCATTTTATATCGCGATGGGATTTCTGGCAAAGCTTCTTTTTTTTTTTACCTGCAATACGATATTTTTCATCCCGATCAAAGAGAATCGAAATTGTGCTTTTTTTTTGGGTCGAAGAATAGCTTGTAAGTTATCTCTGACTACTTCTGCGGAGCAAGTCCCAATTGGGAATGGAGATGATTTTCAGACTCGAGGTTGAATCTGCTGAATTTCGCAACAAGATTAATGGGTTTCCATTTTGTTTCCGAATGTGCATCAAGGGGATAGAGAAAATCGGGCAACAGCTTGACCTTCGCGTCAATCGAAAACACGCCTATAAAGAAGAACCGCATTTCCTGATGTATATGTGTGTACTGTATATTTTTTTCCTGCCACGGAATCCGCTGCGTCTGATCAGCCGAAATCAGGAATATGCAAATGATATTCATGAGCAAACACTAGCACCGAATACCGACAGGATTTTCCTCCATTCCGCATTTCAACTCCTGATGGAACCTGTCCCAGCATCAGGCCAGAATAAATGGAGAAGTTTCGCGATTTCAACCTCGACCCGAAACAAGTTGGCTTACAGACGCAGAAATTCTCTCTGCACCCCGTTGCCAAATTCTTGGAACGATTCAAGCGTTTCTAGCAGGAATAATTTTGCATCTGAATTTTTGAAGGACATCTTTATATGCAAAATTCTTCCATTAAATTGTGCTCAATTATTATCCGCTATTTATAGTTGAGCCGACATTGAATTTTAGGCCCTGAAAAGTAAGAATGCAACGGGTCCGGAATTTCGCTAGTCCATTTTTCACAACAAAACATGTGCATATTTTTAATCGGGAAAATGGGGGTACTCCCAATTCGGAAGCGTTCCCTGGGTTACATGGGTGCAGTAAAGAATGGACGATTTTCTGATACCCTGTGTAGTCAATGTCCGAGAAAAGCTGGTGAAGCATTACGGCGATTGCTATCCATACCGTTGTTCATCTCTGGCACTCGAAGCGAAGCAGCAGCAGGTGTGTGCTCCGATGAAACTGGGATCCCCGGGTTGCATTCCTGTTGGAGCCGCGGGGGTCGGTGGCAACCCGGGATTAAAGCTGGGTATAATGCATGAAAAAATAGTATCTTCAGATTCTTCAGACCACAAGCGCGCAACGAAGAATGCGACAGTCAATGCAATACTTGGAGGTTCGACTGATTTCATTGCGGAAGATCAGCAGAACTTAATCAATTTAGATTTTTCTTGCGATCGTGTTGGGTAAAAGAAGATCTTTATTTCAATTTTCTCAGGACACATTCATTGCTTTCAGAATTTTATAGTTTCTCACTTGAATCCGGCGTAGATATTTGGGAGGATTTAGTGCCTCATTTGTCAAAATCCATGTGACAAACGTTGAAGGTCTTGTTATATTCTTAAAGAAGGCTCAGAATTGCAGTCATTCGATTGAGATTATTCATGAAAATTCCGCGCCCGAAAATTATTGAATCCTCGAGCGAAAAATAAGAAAGACAGAGAAGCATTAAATAAATCTCCAATCGCTTTTTACTTAAAGCGATGTTGAAACATTTAAGCAACGCACGTCTGAAGTCATAAAATTAGTCAGCATTTTGAAGAGATTTTCGCGTGATATTGTTGATCTGTAAAGATTTTGAATAAGGAATCTACTAAAAATCTGGTTTCGATTCTTTCATAGTTATTCTGAACTTTATTTCGCGTATCGCTATTTCGTGATTGAATTATTGAAAAAAAGGTAAACAACATAGTTGATTGTATTTAACACTATCTAAAATCTGTCAATTTTTATAACGAAGATGAACCTGGAAGATACTGGAAATTGCGCTTCAAAAGTCGACAGCAGTGAGAGTATCGGAGTTCGAACACATTCAGAGGGCAGATTCATTTTAGTAGATTCAAAAAATAGTGAAGTACATCATTCATGACATGTAGCTCTCAATTTTATTCAAAGTAACATGGAAACTCGAAAATCTAGACTCGATGGTATGGTAATTCTAAATCAGATACATGAAGATCTTAATTTTTGAGTGACGTTGAAAAGAATTACAAGAGATAGCTGATTGTATATGATACTGTAAAATCTGTTTTATTTTATTATTTGCAACTAAGATGAACCTGGAAAATATTGAGGCTTGCGTTTGAAAAATCGGCAGAAATGGAAATACAGTATCATCTTTGGTGTGCGCTTCGCACAATTCCTTGAATCCTTTTAGCAGCATTTCTCGATCGTCCCGAAAACACGAGAATATTTTTCAAGAAGTACAATAAGACACTTCCTTTCCCCCGATATTCCTCGACTAATAGCTTCGGAATTATAATAATGCGTGGGAGCAGAAGCTGCATTTATATTTAAGAGGGGTAGGAAAGAGGATGAGAAGACTAATGAATTACATCGCTTTGTGCTTTCCTCCCGAGGGAAAGTGTGGTGACGTGATTTGGAAGGCCTGTGTTGAGATTTTCAGTGAGTCACTGGCTGCCTTTGGGGTAGCTGTATACAGTATAGTGTAGTGTATACATCATGAGGGGGTTTTGTGAGGGATCCATGCTGCAAGTCGGTGATTTTGGGGAAGGGGACCGGAGAAGCTTTTGTTTCCTAGTCTTGTTCTGTTCCAAAAACGCTTGCTCCAATTTCCTGTGCTGAGGGGCTCTTTATTGACTTTGGAATTCTCCGGAGGATCGGTCTCAATAATGCGGAAATCATCCTTTGCCTCAGTGTTGCCAAATGCTGTGAATGATTCTTGACGGAGGTCGAAGCAAATGATGCCTTGGGTGTGAGAGAACAGTATGATATGCATTTTAAACGCTGAGTTACTCAGATGATGCAACAAAAGCGTAAAAATTCTTGACAAACGATGTTTCGATTTCCTTGAACGAGGAACTTACTGTTTGTGGTCATTATACGTGGAGAAAAAACTTCGTCATTTATTTCTGTGTCCTCAGGGAATGTTTTGAGTTTGGTTCCTGCATGGCAGTGATTTAAAATGTTCGATCATTACTTAGCTATTAATGACATGACAAGGTTTTCCTGGAGCCCCGCTGAAAAAGTGACCTGATGTGCACATTTCCTAGTGTTTCCCCGCCTCAAAGTTGAAGTTTTTTTAGGTACTCAAGTGTCTTTTTCAGAATATTCATGATCACTTTCGAGTCGATGAATATTCGAACAATCAACTTCTTCATTTGCTGACGATTTCTTTTTTTTTTAATGCTGCTGTGAGTTAAACTGAGCAACGTCTTAATCATCCCTTCATATTTTGGTTTTGAGTAACTTTTTCTTTCAAGAGAAAATTGCAAATAGTGCGTAAAAAATGTAATTGGAACTTTCGCACCAATAAAAGACAAATAAGTCAGTGAAATTTCTTTAGTTGCTTGACTTATTTTATCGCGCTTTATTGAAAAGTTACTTTACATGCAATATTCCCTGTTCATCCTTATTTCGTTGAAGGTGAAATTCCATTCCGTCTTCTCTTCATTTCATGGACGACGACAAAGAAGTAATCCTATGTTACTCTGAAAATCTATGGTGATTTTGTCAATTTTCGAAAGGGTCACCACCACCGATTTTCAATGCGATACAATTCACTTTTTTGTGTCGAATGACCGACGGACAGGATCATTTTCGTTCAGTCGCACGATCAAGACCATCACACGAAATTCATGTATCACGTTTTTTGACTTAGTTTCTGTTCGAATATGAGATTACAGTACCTTGCTTTTCGTGATCAGTTTCACGACTTCCGAAGTACTTTCCAGGAAGACTTCTTGGACATTGCATTTTTGAATAAGCCTTTTGGTAATGCTAGGAGTTCTCAAGAATGCTGAGATGCTTCTTTAGTTCCTATATATGCAATTAAATTCCGTTACGACGAATCTCGTTATCGTAAAGAATTTTTTTTATTGGTCCCGACAGTTTTTCCGTAGGCGTGATGTAATAAAAAATCTTGCTTCAACAAGCTAATTTGAGGCTGTAATTTCGTATAATGAATTTTTGGCCCTGATTCTGTGCATATATAGGTGATGAGGATTATTTTATAAGTGGCAGAAAAGTTAAAATAAAGCTTGAAATGGTGCAGCATTCGAACTTCATCAAAGAAGCAAAACTTTCTGTAGATAAAATTTAGCATTCAAAGAATACACAACTCGACACAGTTTGTTCTATTTAAAGTGTATCCCTTTTTGAAATGAACAATGTGTTGAAAATAATTTTCCTCCATTTCAAAGAACAGAACTTTCTGTAGATAAAATTTAGCATTCAAAGAATACACAACTCGACACAGTTTGTTCTATTTAAAGTGTATCCCTTTTTGAAATGAACAATGTGTTGAAAATAATTTTCCTCCATTTCAAAGAACAGATGGGTATGAATTCACTTTTATAATGAGTTTATTCAGACGCACAGTATTTCTGCATGTATTTTTCTTTTATTTTATTTTTCAAGACAAACGATGCTTGACTTGGAAGGCAGGTGTAATGAAAGGAAGCGAGGGACTATGCATTCCAAAATTTTCATTTTTATTTCATCGAAAACACTTGCTTGAAATTATGACACCTCTTGAATTATTATATCAGAAACTATTCACAGTACAGTATATACTGCCCATTTCACACGAAATTTCAGTGTAAAATGTGTTGAAACCCGTGAATTTTGATACAAAGGATTTGTCACCATAAAGATTTTTATCGGGTCCCTGGAAGTTCGTTGTAAGGAGATTTCACTGCATACAGTGCATTTTTCTGATGACCAGGAAGAAATAAAAATGAAACATAACGGGGTATGCATTATTAAAGTGAATTGAAGAGCCTGGCTGGCAATTTTGAAAGAGTAGAAGTTATATCCAGACCCTTGGGGTATATATCCGTCCGGAAGACTGGAAAAAAAAGGAAAAGGAAAAGGGGGTGGGGGGGGGGGGGTATCATATAAAAACGCAGATCCGTAATCTCTTCTTCCGCTTTGCTCCCCGGCGTCTCAGTCCCGCACTCGGAAATGAGGCGTGTGCTTTTCCTATAGGCTCTGATCTCGTATGTGCTGCTCCATCATCTCGGGGGCATCAAATCACTCACCCGCTGCCTTTCAGCCCCGCCGAACTTTCGACTCCTCGTCATCTCGGACTACTTTAAGGCAACACAGCGAAATGAATAAAAAAGAGGGGGCTTGCTTGTATTTGACAACAGCTTTTTTCTGGCATTCCACTTGTTTTTGTTTTATTGTTTTTAATTCGAAATTTTGTATGTGCTGAATCAAGTCCGTCCGACTAAAGAGACAGTGTCGCGTGTCCGAACGATCGCCGACCACAACTGAGCATTAATTAAAATCTTAATTGACTGACGCCTGTCAAAAATAAAATGAAAAAACCATGCAACATTTACATCACTGCATTTATATCTGCCACAAGTATTTTTCTTTCATTTTATTTTTTCAAGGCAAGCATTTACTCGAAGTCAATGTTACGGCTGAAATTAGAAGCCCTGAGTTGCTAAAATATCCGGGCTAGCAATAAATTAACATTCTTTGCGCACCGAAAAAATAAAGCAGAACGGACCTGTTGCTTCACTCAAAGCAAATAGTTCTACAATATCTGCGGATTGGTTGAGAATATCCCATTTTAAGTATTGTACTTGGGCGAGGCTCAGAAATGTACTCGCTAAAAAATCAGAGTACGAAATGATGGAACCCCGAGATGCAAATAGAAGGGCAGGGAATAATTAACGAGGTACATTTTCAATCGATAATTTTTCCGAAAGCGATGTTGACACATCTAAATGGCTGAATTCAAAAAATTATACTCCATTTTGAACAGATTTTTGCGTGATAATGTAGATCTGTAGATATTTGAAATTGGGAATTAGCTACAAATACAATTTTATCCTTACATAAATATTTCAAAATGTATTTCGTGACTTATTGAAAAAAATGTACGATGAGATAAATTTCATTTTGTATGTTACTATCTAAATCTTTTTTTTTTACGGCGAAGATGAACCTCGAATTTATTGAAACTCGCGTTCCAAAAATCTAAAGTATGGTTTAAATTCAGATGCATATAAAGACCCCTGAAACCTGTTTGATTTCCAGTCAAGAATTTAAGCTTCACCCAACTCCCAACCGCGTAAACACTGAAGATGTTCGAAATATTTTCCGGTGCGATTAAGTTTTCCGCCCTGAGGAATTTAATTAAGTGGTTTTCCTATACCCGACGCCGCGAGTAATACGCAAGTTTCGCAGAGTTGCTTCATGGCTGGTTGGATTAAAACGAACCTGAAGCTTTTTGCACTCAGCCATGATGAAGTAAGCTGGCTTTCATGCTGATGATTCACTCTTGCGAACTGAGATCAGATGATCCTATAAATACTGTAAAGAGATTTTCGGTCGCGAAGATTATGTCTCGGATCTCGACCTTCTTTTGCCTTTTCGCGATGAAAATTTGGCGCTCATCCCGGGGATTTGCGACCGAGAATATCATGGTTGAACTCGTTCAGAGAAATAACTTGGATACTTACTTGTGTATCTTGGGGAAATTTTTGCGAGGATTTTCCTGCTGTTTTTTCTGTTGGCATTCAAATATGGTTCATTGGATTGTGGAATCATTTCCTGAGATGAAAAAAATTGTCGCACAATTTTTCCCGCGAACTCTTGTGTGAACTTCGGCTTCGCTGGTTTCAAGGTGATGCTCTTGGAAACTCGAAGAACAGAAAAATTCGAGAAAAGAATTTAGTGCAGTATTTACTATTTTAAACTCAATTTCGAGGCGTATTTCTTGGAAAAATTTGGACGGGACATCCATCACCAGTATCGATTTGAATGAGTTTCACTTTCACGAGGAAAGAATGAGTAAGTGCGCTGTTATGTTCCGATGGAATCCTTGATACAAAATGAAAATGTATGTTGCTGTGTTGCTCAACTCAATTGGATGTCGTCTTCTGAAAGAAAACCAGCCTGGTTTCTCTTTTAAAATTAAATTGTGATTCACTTTGTGGGGTGCGCTTTCATCTTGTGACATGAAAAGAATGAATTGTGACACGGAGCTGGGAGAAAAATGACGAGCAACGTTCGGTTGTGGAGAAGATTTTTGAGGATGTCCCGACAAGTTTGATGCTTTAAAGTGGGATCCATTTTTTATTACGTTGAAAATTTTACGAGCTCCGCTCTTGGAACCTCTTTTTGCACCCATCCGGCCAATGTTTTCTTATTTATGCGCGTCGGAATCTTGTACAGTATTGCATTTACTGTCAAATTTGGCTGAGATTTTTCGATCGGGTCATGATCTTATTTCAGAGTGAGAAATTTCCGCATTTGAAGGAAACATCATCTTTTGACATCAATGGACTCGCGGAGTAAATCCGAGGAAAGTTTAGTTCAATAAACCATGATTCATGGGAAGAAACTTTTTTTTTCTGTGGGAAACATTGACATTAATCTGTTGACATCTCTTTTTTCAACGCAGAAAAATATATTTTGCCTGATCTACTTCTTTCTTCCTGTCACAAGAGATCATCTGAACCGGGCTTTTTACGTCAAATTTGATGCGTCTTGTTTATGCGCAAACACTACGCGAGCGGATTGGGTTCATAATCCTCGTCGGTGCTGCTCAACTAGAGCTGCGATTATTTCATACTTCTTCCAACTAGATTTTAATGCAAATTCCGTGAAACATGGCACAGTGGACCCAGCTGGGACTTTAGTCCGTTCTATTAATCACTCAGCGTTTATTATCCCCGCCCAACATGAATTTAATGACATGCAACTCGGGGCTGGAAAGTTCAGCGAAATTGGAAAGCTGCGCTGTGGAAACTTGATCAATACGGTTTGCTGCTTAAGGAATCGCTGGTGAAAGCAAAATTGGAGTCGTTACGTTATTAAAGACGTGTATGTTTCAGGAAGCTTTGAAGTCTTGATTTAGAATCGTACTTTTTCATGTTTTTCAGCGGAAAACCTTACCGCAATAAAGCCTGAATTGGCTGGACTTCATCCTGAAAATACGACTGTGAGTGTTGGAGAAGTTGCTGCTTTGCAGTGCGTCATTGTTGCTGATGGTCCTCCACATGTTGAGGTGTGTTTGTGTTTATTTATTTATTTATTGCAATCGTATCGAAAATGAGAAATTGTCGTCAAGGAACATCCCTAGAAATTAGTTCATGGTAAAAGTAGTCGAATTTTTTTTTCTGAGAATCTTCAAGTGTACCTACTCAACTCTCAAGTAAACATTTGTATCACGGATTGAACTGGCGTGACTTTTTTTTCGTGGAGCACTTTTCTCGGCATTTTGGCAGAGTTATTTTTTTGGCAGCGGTCACTTTTGCGATTATTTCCATTTTGACACACGCCAAAAGTAATTCGACTTCTGCTACAAAGCAATGCAATTCTTCAGATTGAAAGTCTCGATGATGTTTTTTTAACGCAATTTGTTTGTAAATAATGATGTGATGTTTTTGGAAAACGGTTCAGCTTTTCCCGAAATCAAACTGAAGTATACTTTGATTTAGTACAATTTTTTCAGATGGGCTGCATTTTTAGGTGATAATAAAAAATTAAGATGACCTGAATAATTCGTACTCTCATTTTTGTGATTTCGATCCAGTTTTCTAAATTTTTGAATGAAACCTGAAAAATCTCGCTGATTTCTCTCAATTGAAAGTGACCAAAAATCTCCATAGAAAAAATAAGATAAAATAAGAGATCCGTTCTTTTCCGCAGCAACAAAATACGAGTTTGTTTTTGCGCTTAGAGGAGGGGAAAAGTTTCGGCGATTCCCTCATTAGCACAGATTCTGGCTTGCTTTTGGTTATGATGTTTGCTCGCAAAAGTTTTTCCTTCGTGGAAACTTTTTGGCACGAAAAAATAACCTGTTACTGTGAAAGAAAACGCTTCATTAACTACTTGTTGTACCGCCATTCTTTAGTTTTGGCGCAAACTTATGATCAAGCTTAATCTTCCTTAGAACCACTTTCTGGTCCAGTTATTACTGCTGATATTGGGAATTCGACCGAAATGATAGTTTTTTTTATGGAAAATAATTTAATGTGCTCGCCGACATTTTGTGCGTGATAACCGCAATTAATTCGGGCGAATACAGCATACGAAGAGGATTTTAATTACCCAAAGAATTCCGATTAACGAACTGCTAAATTAAATGAATGAGGCTGAACATTTTTTTTTACCCCAGTTTTCTTCAAAAAGTTAAAAGACTTAGACTTGCGTATTGCAGACAAAATTCATCCTGTAAAGCAGAAACACAGAAAAATCAGGGCCATCTTATCAACAGATTTAAAAAATACCATCGTTGGTTTTTTAAACTTTTTTTTTCAGTGTTCACTGCAGAAAAAACGTCATACAGTAATTTTATGCGACAAGCTTTATAGACGTTCACTCACGTGCAGAATGGAATTAAATTGTTTTTCTACCTTACGATATATGCATATGAACCAATACCAGTGTATTCAGAGAAGATATGCAAAATGAATCGCAGAAAATTTCGAAGGGCTCTTTTTTCGAGTTCCGGAATTTTTAAACGTTCGCTGTATATACTGTGCACAACTTCTGCCGCCAGGACTAAATTCATTTTTAACAAAATTGAACTCGTTTTTTCGCAGTGGCTGAAGCAAATGGAACCGCAGGAACTGGCAGAATACGACAAATTGCGGAAGAAGAACTCGTTGAAACAGGGTCAGCAGCAACCGGAAGTAATCGGCGACCGGAAAACCACGGACTTCAACGGAAAGCCGCATTGGATCCTCAACGTCGGCTCTCGTAGCAGTCAAGGAGTGGAAAGCGGAAACAGAACCCACTACGTTTCCAAATTGGTCATTGCCAGGGCTTCAATCGGGGATACGGGAACCTATGTTTGCCTGGCTGCCAATTCCATGGGCTACAACTACAGAGAAGCTCGACTCATCGTCAGAGATCACTGTGAGACTTCGTTTTTTTCGTTTATCAAGTAGCCCCAATTGAAAAAAAAAAATTGGGGCAAAAATGTGTTCGACTTCTTTGGCCTTGATTTCATCCGAATGGTGCCATATCCTTTCAGCTGTATTATCGGGGATTGAAAAAAATACAATTTCATATTAAAAGGTTTTTCTCTTGTCCATTAAAGCAATAATTCGTTGTAGG